TAGATTTTATAATAGCTTTCAAGATTTTGGGAAGTGGACTAAGAATATTTTAAGAGATACTATCCAAAACTAATCTGGTCTGCAAAAGCTGAGGTGAATAGTGGCTTGCAAGTAGTGATCAGGACCAGGCATTCAGACATCCACTACATTGTTGCTGTCATAGCATTGAGAAATAGGTTTCCGACAGGGCTATCTGAAGGATTTCAGAGGGTTTGTTTTAGAAGGTCTACTGGTGTCTGTGTAGGCCCGTCAGTGCTGAGCACACACACAAGTATGACTTCACATTGTGTGGTACTGGATAAGAACTATAAAGGTTCTGACTGGGCTCTTGATAGGGGGTAAATGAATATTTATGAGGAAGTGATTTAAGATATAAGGATCTGAAAGTCATGCCCTGCACCCTGCTAGTAAATGACACATTGTAATAACAAAAGCTTTTTGATCAAGCAAACCTGGACTTGAACCCAAGGCTTCTGGATAGATCATTCTATGAGCATTCATGTCTGTGGAATTGGGACCTGATATCTACCTTCATTACAAGACTTAGGACCTAAGCAAGAGGGTCTAATCTTCCTCCTTCAACCATGTGGGTCCTGGAAGAAAACTCAGTTCCTGAGGCTTGACAGCCAGTGCCTTACTGACTGAACCATCTTGCCAGCCCAAGATATTTGCTTGGATAAAAGGAGAAAAATGTGTGTTTTTAAAATCAATATTCCCAGTCTCTTTGAATTTTTTTTCAAATATTTAGGTATATGTTACATAGCCTTCTTATTCTTTACCCTGTAAATATTAGAGGCAGGTATAGTTTATTTCTGAGCTATGAATATTCAAATAAATACTACACACAAACTATGTCCTATTTTAGAAAATGAGAGCACATAGAACCAATGTTTTCTATACTTCTATTAAAAATGTACTGTAGACACTAGCTTTGGACAGGTTCTCCAGAAAGCAATTCTAGGGTTTTGAGAAACTTCAGCCTCTGCATACATTGTCCTGTAGCTCTATGTTAATCACTGAACTGGGGAGGCATTGGGCGTCTGTCTTAAAGCTTAACTTCAACTGTAAATGGCAAAGCACTAAGCAGTGATAATATTGGCTCGAATTAATTTATCAAACTTTCTTGATAATCATCTTACCGAGACCTGAGGGGACAGATAGAAAACTGCTGCATTCTGATAGGGGGGTTGGTTAAGGCCACGGATGAAGAAATCCAAGGAGGGAAACCGTGGTAAATTCAGGGCAGCAACCAGCAGCCTGAGCTCAGTCTATGTCTGGGGACAGTGATAGGGAAGAAGGATAGGAAAGATTCAGAAAGATATGGTGACGTTTTTCCCATGGCAGTTTTACTGGGGTCAACCCAGCAAATACCTCCAACATAACTTTTAAAAAAATCTAGCAAATACATGCTAGTGAAATAAGGAAATGAGGTATCCAACTGGATAGAAGAGAGATAGGTAGATGTATGTATATATAGGTAGATAGATAGATAGAGAGAGAGAGAGAGAGAGAGAGAGAGAGAGAGAGAGAGAGAGAGAGAGAGAGAGAGAGAGAGGAAAGACAGATAGATAGACGATAGGTAGGCAGGCAGGCAGACTGACAGATAAAAAAGTCAACTAGGAAGCAATGGATCTGTAGGGAGATTAGAAGGGATTCTAGGTAATGTGAAGTTGGAGAACCCAATGAGTGTTTACAGAAGGATGAAGGCTTGGCTGTTGGAAATTCGGAAGGGATTGGGTTAGGATGGGGAGTGAATGGATTCTTGTATAAGTTTCTGCCGATATCACTTAGAAATAGTGGTAGAAAGTTCAAGTACTCAAACATTTCATCAACTAATCATACAATATTCTACTTCAGACACTGTGGATAAATAAGGTTAATGCTAAGTTCTGTCATGTTCTGAGTGTCTCAAGGAAATTGTTGGGGGAATGTCAAGACAGAGTTCATATCAAGTTTGTGACTTTATAGCTCCCCGGTTCTTTGTTGCTGTAATAGGAACCAAAGTCTTGATGAAAATGAATTTCTGAAACCATTTAGCACTTCTACTTTTCAGATATCAAATCAACCTGAGCGGAAGAGATAAGTGTAACTGCAAATTAGACTAATTATTTTTTAGCAGCTCTAACAGCAGACATCTTTAGAATACATAGTTCAATGTCAGTGCTCCTAGCTTGCAAGTGAATGAAACAAGACTTTAAAATGTTCCAGAACTTACATACAAGTAGCAGAACTCACATAGAACATAACTATTATGTTTCAGTGCTAATTGATCAATTGAGAAAAATTACCTCAGTTAAAAAACACAGATCTCCCTGACAATGGATCAATATTTGATATAGAATTTATTTGAACTAGAATTCATTTATTTAACAGTTACTAACAGACATGAAATAATAACTGTGATCCATTTGCAAGGTCATGTGAGGATCAGGACTATGTCTGTATCTGGAATTCAAAATAAATAAGACATAAGACCAGATGTTCGATATTTAGAACCACACATACAATTTTAACATTGTAATTGCTGCCTCTAGCTATTCATCCAGAAATATCTAAAATCTTGAATTAATTTTAAAATGCTGAACTGAGTATTTGGCATGTATACATAGACTATCAAAGATGGTGGGCTTATTGTTCTCTAAAGAGAGTCTATTGGCAGAAGTTAGACATATGTGTGATGAATTCTTTCAGGATTGGCTCTTTATTAAGTGGTAGGTAATGGCAAATAAGTGATTTATGACTCTTGAATAGCTATTTATAATAAAAGTGTAATTGTCAAATAAAATTGAGGACTCCAGGACTTTTTTCTTTCAAATTATTTCCATTTTAGCTAATTCACTACAGTAAAATTAATTTAAACAATGTTAAATTTTCTGTTATAGGTATCTAGAAAATTTTATTTTATTTTACATTATTTTGTATGTGTATGGATATCTTGCCTGCATTTATGTCTATGCAGCACACATGTGCCTGATGCCCATGGAAGCAAGAACAGGGCATCAGATTGCCTGGTAGATTTTATGGATTTTATCTGCTGAATCTTTCATTGTAATACCTGTAGAGGAGGAATATAAATTCTTAAAGGCACTGATGATGCCAACAGAATATTATAAAATTTATAATAGGCATTGCATTATCAGTTTCCTTTTAAAGAGAATGAAGGTTGTATATGTGTAGTTGTAATTATAGGAGTAGAACTCAGTCGAGTAATAAAATAGATTATGTAAAATATGATGATGTCAATTAAGCCATAATATATAAATATAATATTCTCAAACAGAATCATGAATGATAAAATTGTCTTTAAGAATTCTGAATCATGGTATTTTATACCAAATAGATAGCAATAAATGAAAAAAATATAATAAACTATGTTTAAAAGTCTGTGTATGAAAGGATACAGTCAGTAGACTGAAATGGAACCCCATGAAATAAGAGAGAGCATTTGTTAATTATAAACTGATAAAGGGTCAAAATTTAGAATATATGAAAAGATAACAGCTAGCTGTTAAAAAAACAGAGAAAGTGTCTGAAGACATACAAATGACCATAAGGTACATAAAATATGTTTAATATCACTAATTCTCAGGAAAATACAGAGCAAACCTACAATGATCTACCCTCTAATACTCATTAGTATGGTATTGACCAAAAAGAAAGAAAGCAACAAATGTAACACAGGATATGGAGAAATCAGTACACCTTACTAGTAGAAATGTGAGTACTATGGGTGTTATGGAAAAACAGGTGGGTCCTCGGGAAATTAAAAATAGGAGAACCATATGATTCACACATTTTCCTCTTTGAGCATACACCCAAGAGAATTGTAGGTAGTGACACAGATTGATGGCTATACATCTGTGCTTATAGCAAGTGTTCACAACAGCTACAACATGGGAACAAACGAATGTCCATGGATGGATGATGAACAAAATGGGCGTTCACAAACAGTGAAGTATCATCTAGCCCCCAAAGAAGAGAAAATTCTGACACATGTCTCAACATGAATGAACTTTTAGGACCTTGCACTGCTGGCCAGGAAAAAGCTTAGTCAGTTAAATGCATCAACATGAAAACCAGAGATCAATGCCCAGAATTCACATAAAACAAAACAAAACAACAACAACAACAAAAAACAACTGGGTGTGGTGGTGTATGTGTATAAACCCAGTTCTGGGGAAGAGAGCTTGCTGGCCAGCCAGCCTACTCTACCCAGTGAAAGTGAGGTGGTGAATGAGAGACCTTGTCTCAAAACACAAGGTGGGTGACTCTTGAGGAGTGTGACACCTGGGTCTGACCTCCATCTTCCACACATACATACATGTATAGGTGTACCTATGAACACACGACTGTAGGCACCTTTGGGTATACACCCTCCGCCAAAGACATTACATTGAGTAAAACAAAGTCACCAGAAGACAAAAGCGGAGTGATTCTGCATATGAAGATACCAACGATAGTAAATCTATAACAGGGAAAGTAGAATGATAATGGGGGATTTGCAGACAATGAGATGGGAATGTTTGCTTAGTAGTCACAGACACCTAGTTCTGCAAACTGACAAGAATTATTGAGCTGAATGAAGGTGGGGACTGCAAATCAATGGCAATGCACTTGATTACACTCATGTGCACACCTAGAAATGGTCAAGATATGAATTTCATAGGACAATCTATTTTACCACCATTTTTAAAATTAAAAAAATCATTTGAGTGGTATGGCTTTAAAAACTATTGAAAAAGTGGGAAAATTTAAGTGATAAGACTCCGTCATCATGAGTAATTAATTGAATAATTAATGGAAAAGGAATCTAGGAATATTTCCTGAGTACTCATAAAGTTTAAAATATGTGTTAAATTACTCAGTTACATGTTAGAGCATCATATACCCTAATATATAATCATATGGTATGTAGAAATTGATTGCTTTTTCTTTGCTGGTTCTGTGGCTGTGATGGAGCAGAGTACGTACTCTCAACTTTAATGCTTCTGCCATTACAGATCTGTGGCCCTTGGTTCCCATGGTTTCAAGGCACAATGAAGCACACCGGCTCTTGGAAACTGTGGACTTGGGTGGCAATGGTCCTGCTTCCTGTTTCCACTTGTGTGACTGTCAGGGACAAGCCAGGTATGTGGGTCACCTCTCTACCTGATTGGGAAGTGGTATCTATAGTCCTTAAACCATTTTAAAAAAATCCATCAAAGCAAATCTTGTTAAGGTTGGAGAGGCCGCAGATTAGATGTACTGATATAGAAAAAAGAAATCATTGTTTTCTACCACCGACCTTCACATAGTGCCTAGGATGAACTTCCAAATGTTTCATACACTTGTTCTCTAACTTTTTCTATAATTGGAACTTGTAAATGTGACTATATGCATGTATGTCTCTGTGCATAAATATATTATCTCACATTTTAGCCTCTAAGAATTATTTGTTCAAGTTATGTCTAAAAATTCACCACTAATTAGGATTAACAAGGACATGTCTACCCTTAATTAAGAAAAAGTGAAAAACAGATTCCGAAATGTAAAAAGAAATAGAGTTTAATTATATATTCAGCTCCGTGGTATCTCAGATAAGAGAAACAAAGGGTGAACACATCTTTACAGTATCCAATAAATAGATAATATTTATTCTCAACTGCTACATTTATGAATTTTCTCTTAAATATTCCCAAAGGTCTTTCCAGCAATTTGAAACATTTATTCTCATAACTGACTTTTAAAATTAATTGTGCCTGTATAGATTATTAACCTACATGTACTTCATGTTGCAAAGTTGAAGTGAATATGTAAGATCAGTTGCTAAGGAACAATCAGATGGGATGTATTCTGAGAACAATCACGTAACAGTGATGTATCTTGAGATCTGAAGACTGACTCTTTCTGTGTATGTTCTCTTGAAATAGTTCTTAATAATTTTGATGACTAGACACAACTTCCCTCTCATAGAGGTTTTTGAGTTTATATATACACAGAATAAAAACTGTCACGCATAAACAATTTTTGTCCATTTTGACTATTTGTCACTGATTTCAGAGGAAGCCCATTTCCTAAAACAGTCCACATGAAAATTCAAATATTCTATTAACGTGTGTATGATAGCCTGAGCTTGTCACATAGTCTTAGGGAAAAGCACCTTTTCTGCAGTGAGAAATAAATAAACAGTGACAGCTAACAACTAAAGCCATGTTAAAGTAAAAAGTTACTTAGGGAGAGCATTATATTATATTCTGATAATCTGCTCTCTTAAATTTATGTTTCTTTAGCAAGAGAAGGTGCTCTGTTTTGCAATTTCACATGGGTGGGTGGGCTTCCTTTACCTAGAATGGAGGCTAAATCTTTAGCTGAGTGGTACAGTATTTTTGGCCATGCTAGTATGTAGGAAATGGTTTTGAGTTGAACCACAGTGTGAAGGCTCTACACAATTGACTCTGGTTTTAGCAAGACCAAGAATCCCAGCAGGTACTGATTCCTGACTGCCTAGCAGAGATTCCTGTTTTGCTGTTGAAGCCATGGAAAATTCAGTTCTTTACATCTTTGACAAGTCAACCAATTGAGTCTAATGCAGGATGACTAGGGAATGCACTTGGGGAAATACTCACTTTGGGGATAATTAAATGTCATTTTATTTTCTTTCTGATCTACTCCTTAGCCAGTTATTGTCTGTCATTTTATTTTAATCTCTAGCTTTAATAAGCTTTTATTGTAAGAAGACCACTTATGGTCTCTACTTTGCTAAAAAATACTAAAATATACTTTGCTATACAAGTACAGAAAGAGTCATTAACCATAACAAAACTGTCTATTGAATATCCCCAGAACTCAGTCATTTTTACATAACCAAACTTTCATATTTTAGAATTCCTCTAAATATTTTACTTTTCTACATTGAATATCACAGTTCTTTGATCAAGTTATACTGTATATATAACTACCCAAATGTATTCTAGCCCCAAATATTTTACTGAATTAGTTTCTTGAAAGATTTTTCTAAGAACCTGAATTGTAATAAGATTCCCAAAACATGCAGCACTAAAGGAAATAAATAAAGAAAGCACTGAGTTTTCTTATGCCACTCGGTAAAGGGTGCCTGTAGAGCGAGAAGTGTATTTGGAACCTGTCATGGCAATTGCTTCACCTCAAATATCATTTACATTAATTGAAAATGTCAGCACAGTACCACCACAGGGACAGTTGGAGAATGTGACACACTAGACCTGGCCTGGCAGGCTACTCTCCTTGTGTCTTGTCTTGTGTGTCTGATTCATGGGGCAAGGTTCCCTTTTTAGTTTTCTCATGTGCAGACCTGTGTGTGTGGTCACTAACCATTTACCGGAGGGAAGTGATTACATCTAAAAATAAAATCGAGCAAATCTGAGGGAGAGGCTAGGGTTTCAGTTCTGGACTTGGAGAGGTTGTCAACAGTTTACAGTTAAAACTAAATGTAATAAAGGATACCTCGTGTCTTCACGGCTGTCCTCCACTCACTCTATGGCAGCCTTAACGATGACCTGGAATATCATGGCAAGTGGGACAGAACTCAAGAATAATCTGGAAGAGTCAATAATAATGCAAACTGAAAAATCTTGGATTCAGGCATTTCCAAGTCTTTGATCGATTTACATTATATTCACATTATGGGCTAAGATACATTTGTGTGTTTTTACAGTGACAATAAATTTCAACTTGACCATGGTAGCTTCAGCTCAGCTACCATGCTCGGCACACTTCAACTTTGCTTTCATTGGTTGCTTAAAACTGGATCCTCTATGATAGAAACTTCCATATCATGTGGTTAGTTTCTTCTCTTAACGTGGCCTTAAGCATAAGTTCTAAGTTATTATAAGGAATCCTTAAAAAAGACAAAAAACAAAAACCAACAACAACAACAAAACAAAACAGAAAACCAGTGTGAAAAGCACAGGTGAAGCAGACGGCAGGATGCCATCGAAGAAAATACTATTTAAAATACTATTTAAACCAGTTTCAAGCTTCATGCAAACCGTCTAGCTGGTATGGAGGATATTCACAGGACCAAAGCTAAACACAAAAACCTCGTTAAGTCAATTCTCTACTAACTTAAGGGGGAAAGTTATCATTCTTAATTAGCTTATACTTGTTGAGAGAAAAATCTCCTATGAACCTCGTGTAGAAATTTGTCTTCTGCACTTTGAATAACTCTCAGTGCTCAGTAGGGTACCACCCCAAACTCTTCGGAGTGACACATGTAGAACTTCACTCCTAAATGTGGAAAGAGCAAGAAACCATCCCGATGACAGGAGGACATGCCTCCTACCCAGGTATTTTCTTTGGAGGAAGAGTTTTGGATTAAAGCTAAGTAGTGAAGGTACTTGTGTGACCTCTTGTGACCTTTTCCTAAAATAGCTGTGTCCCATTTTTCTCTCATTTGGCAGCCCTTTTTTGGTTCATAGTATTTTTGTTATATCATAGTCCAGCATGCTTTGTCTACTTTTGTTAGCTGTTGATTTACTCTCAACATAGAATAGCAGTTATTCTGTTCTCAAATGCTTTGGCAACAAATAAAGAAAGTGCACAGGGGATCTGAAGCACAGGCAGAAACAGTGAGTCAAGAGGCCCCTCGATGGCCTCTACCAAATAAGAATTCTGTCTTTGCCTTTAGAAAATATGAGAGATGGCTCAGTCAGTAAAGGGCTTGCCTTTCAAGCTAAAGGACCTGAGTTCGATCCCCAGAAGTCACTGTTTTGTTTTGTTTTCAAAAGCCACCCATGATGGCACAACCATGTAATTTCAGTTTAAGGAGACAAAGACAGTTAGAGTCCTGAGGCCTGCAGGCCAGCCAGCCTAGACTACATAATGAGTTTCAGAGCAGTGAAAGAAGCTGTCTCAAAAAACAAGGTGAATGGCTCCTGAACAATGACATCTGGATGGTCCTCTGGTCTCTATAGGCATATGCATACATGAGTACACACACCCATATGCACATGTGCAACTGGGCACATTTACATTCAAATGTAACCCCCCCACACACACATGTAAAATATGGAATACCTAAGGGACCTTTTCCATCCACCTATAGAAGACAGACTAAGTAGTTCTACATCTGTACACAACTGGTGCCTTCACCTTCTCCACTTCTGATCTGGAGAAGTCCTAAGTAGTATTGTAGCTAGAGTTTTCCTGCCTGGCCCACAGTCAGGACAAATCTCTCTCACCTGCCAGTCCCACAGCCACTCAGACCCAACCAAGTAAACACAGAGACTTATATTGCTTACAAACTGTATGGCCGTGGCAGGCTTCTTGCTAACTGTTCTTATAGCTTAAATTAATCCATTTCTATAAATCTATACCTTGCCACATGGCTCGTGGCTTACCGGCATCTTCACATGCTGTTTCTCATCGTGGCGGCTGGCAGTGTCTCTGACTCAGTCTTCCCCTTCCCAGCTTTATTTTCCTCCTTGTCCTGCCTATACTTCCTGCCAGGCCACTGGCCAATCAGTGTTTTATTTATTGACCAATCAGAGCAACACATTTGCCGTATAGAACATCCCACAGCACTTCCCATTTTCTTTTTTTTTTTTTTCAAAAAGGAAGGTTTTAACCTTAACAAAGTAAAATTACATATAATTTGGGAATTTGGGCGTAGCTTCTCTTACTACTTCCTGCTGGAGGGGGGCGCTGTATCTTATGGGGACACAAAGAAAATTTTAGGATAATGGAATAGTCCATGAGGCTGTATTGTCTGAGCCAGTTGCCTTCAAACCATTCTGGATATTGGATCATCTGGGCCATGGTGTCATCGGAGACCTTTCAGGGGGTCTTGGCTGGTCAAACCTGATGTATCTTAATCTGGCACAAATCCATAGCCTCTGGCTTTCTGTGGGAACAAAAGCAGAGTCTCCTTTCCAAAGCAGCACATCCTTACATCCAAATTTTGAAGTCAAGGTATCTTTAAAATATATATATTGGTTTAACTCAACATCTTTTATGATCAAATGTTTTTCTGCAGTTAAAACATCCCAAAGACAACACAATCCAGATTCTCTGTGTAATATTCATCTTTACGTGGCTTATTTTTTATATTAATTTTACTGTCTCTTTAAAGACTTTATTTTTTAAAACTATGTATTTGTTTATATAACTGT